CCACCCTAAAATGGAGGCTGGCTATGTTCTGGGACTGCCCCCTGAGCTGGAGGGGAACTGCCCCCTTCTGAGCTCTAATCAATCTCTCCAGGAAGATTTCAGATGAGTGACAAGACAGCAGTGTTGAAGTAAGTATACAAATTTATTAAGAATACATTAGGCATAAAGCATAAGTGGGCAATTCAGCTATTCTGAGTCCCAACCTGGTGGGGGTTCAAGTGTTTTATATCTCTTTCCCCTATAGGTTTTAAAGCTTCCATGTGGATATTTTGGGTAGCAGACTAGGTTACCGCAGTCTTATCCTACATTGTTGTGGCTTATCTCAGAATGTTTGTACATACATCTAGTCATCTTGTTTGGCAAGTCCTAAGGCAGCTGACTTCTTTGTTTAGTGCAGTGGTCGGCAAACTCGACCTACACCCCCACTTCTTCTAACACCACTTCTTCAAAATAGACTCGCCCATGCTGAAAACCGACTTCTGCGCGTGGGCCACGAAGTTCAATCGCACTGTATGTGCGCGCCTGCATGTTTTATTTTGTGGAAGAGCCACACTCAAGGGGCCAAAGAGCCGCATGTGACTCGTGAGCTGTGGTTTGCCAACCACTGGTTTAGTGGATGAGATAAAACTCCCCTTTTGTCCCTTTTACCCCCTTTCCTGCCCTAACATCCCCCAAGTAATACCACCTAAATGCTTTGGGGGTTCTGTTGTTTGTCCCCCAGATTTTATCTGTCTTGGGGTTTAGCTGGCACAAATGGCATTAATTGGGCCTTGGCTCTCTGTTTTCCCAGGCCAAGGTGATTTAAGCTATGTATTCTCTGGTTAGGGAGGAAAGGTATAAACCGTTTGCTCTCAGTGTCCTTGGTTGGGGAAGATAAGGTCTTGTGTTTCACAAGCTGGCTGCAAGCTACCCAAACTGCTTGGCCTTGCTTAATTTTCTTGTTTCAGTTTCCCCATTCGACTTGCCCAGAAACTTTCCTAGCTTCTTACTCTCCTGCCACAGATGGAGTAAAGGGCAATCTGGTCCTCTTGGAACTGCCTGCCTAGAATAGAGCTGGGGCTAGTGGGGAGGGAGGGATAACAAATGCTGGCAGCCTGCCCCTCCTGGGATGAAATTGTAGCTTCAGACTGGGAGCTGGGGAGAAAGGGAGCTCCCATCTCCTTGGCCATACCTGCCCAGATTAGAGAACACCAGGTAGGATTTTATAACATGAGAATGGTGACAGAACAAGTAGTGACTGAAACACCAGCCTCCCCTGCTTTTACCAAGATTTAGTAGATTTTCTTGAATGTCTGCTTCTCCATTTGTCTTATACCCAGAGAACAATTTCCAGAGACTTTAAATAAATTTTTTATAATTTTCATCAGTTAAATTGTTGCATAGGGTCCACTTATCTCCTTACTTGCCATCCCCTTTATTATGATATTTTTGTGTTACTGAAATTTCTAACACTGGAAACTTTCGAGACAAAAGCATTACAGACTCAGAAACATCCCCTTTGAAGATTTCAAAATTCTTGTTTGTAAGGCAGAAGTTGAAAAGAAAGAAAAGGCCTAAGGGTGCTGATGCCTTCAGGCAGGTACCAAAAGAGAAGGGAAGTCTTTAAGAATAACAATAAGAGTTTCAGATTGTGCTGATAATGCTCTCAGGACAGTGATGATGGCAAGTTGACCAGGGGGTAGGACTGCTCTCAGATCTGTTTCTGAGGAGGACGTGTAAGTCCACTAGTAGTAAATAGCAGCCAAAAACAGTTTGCTTTTTTGTTTGTTTGTTTGTTTGTTTGTTTTATGGAACCCAGGTTAAAATAAAACCCAAGACCACTCAGTACTATGATATAACCAATAGATCTTGGTGCTTATCCTCTGCCTAGTCTCTGGGGAAAGGTTAAGTTTTTAGAGGGAAGAGGAGGGGACAATGGAGGAGAACAAGAAAGGAGGGTTTTGGATTGGTAGGCAAAGCTGTCTCTGGAAGCAAGGAGTGGGAGAGTTCCTGTTCCTATATATTTATCTGACATTTAGTGTCCCCTTAAACTGGGAGGGGACAAATGCCATGGGGGTGGGGACTGCTAGACAGGTAGCACCAATGGATAGGCATCAATTATCTGGTCAGCCAGCTGCTAAGTTTCAGTGATGTTATTAATTTTAGAATAAAGCAGTACTTCCATTGACACTTTTTGCCCTACATAGATTATGGCTGGATTTAGGTATAGAATTGGCTTTCTAGGGCTTAAACAACAGAAGTATATTCTCTCACAGTCTGGAAGCTGGAAGTCCAAGATCAAGGTGTTGGCAGGTTTAGTTTCTCCTGAGACCACTCTCCTTGCTTGCAGATGGTCACTTCTTTACTATGTCTTCCAATAGCCTTTCCTCTGTGTGTAAGTAACCTGATGTCTCATACTCTCCCTTTAAGGACACTCGTCATAGCGGATTAGGCTTGTACCCTTATGACCTCAATTAACGAATTACCTCTTTAAAGACCTCAAAATAGCCCTAACTGATTTGGCTCAGTGGATAGAGTGTTGGCCTGCGGACTGAAGGGTCCCAGGTTTGATTCCAGTCAAGGGCATGTACCTTGGTTGTTGGCACCCCCCCAGTGGGAGGTGTGCAGGAGGCAGCTGATTGATGTTTCTAACTCTCTATTCCTCTCCCTTCCTCTCTTTAAAAAGTCAATAAAATATATTTTTTTTAAAAAATAAAGACCTCAAAATAGAGTCACATTGAGGGTTAGGATTTTCAGATATGAATCTGGAGACAATTCATTTCACAACAGGTATTATGTATACAAATGTCAGAAAAGTTTGAATAATTTTAGAATGACCAAAAAAGAGAGGAAAGAAATTGGGTTCTGCCTAGCTCAACCTTTGGTTGTTTTTGACTAGCCTACTTAGAATTGCAAGGTGTAATGAAGAAGTTCCCTCTCGAAAGTTATGCAAATGATTCCTTTTTGTACAAAAGCAGGTAGCTTTTGTCCAAAAGAGAATATAAATATCTGTAAGTTAAATTCTCCTTTAACTAACTGTAACATCTACTGGTCACCTCACAAATTAATGAGTTAAATAAAGCATTTGACACACTCATTTTATAATTGTATGAAAATCATGATTTTACCTTTTAACAAATATGATCCTTTAACACTAATATTGAGGGTTATTTAGACAATATTATTACTGTTGTCCCAATTTTTCTGTCCTTCAGTGTTTTTTCCTCCCTTTTCTAACTTTTTTCACTTCACTGAACTTAAACTCCAGGGTTAGAAATGGAAATTAGCAGGTACACTGAACATTGATGATGGACAAGGAAACAACAGAGGCCACTATCAGAATTCTGTCATATTTCAATAAGGAGTCATGTTACTGAAGCCCTTTTCATGTCATAGACCAATGATACACACCCACACCCTACTCCAGTGATGGCGAACCTATGACACGCGTGTCAGAGGTGACACGCGAACTCATTTTTTTGGTTGATTTTTCTTTGTTAAATGGCATTTAAATATATAAAATAAATATCAAAAATATAAGTCTTTGTGTTACTATGGTTGCAAATATCAAAAAATTTCTATATGTGACACGGTACCAGAATTAAGTTAGGGTTTTTTAAATTTCTGGCATGCCAAGCTCAAAAGGTTCGCCATCACTGCCCTCCTCTATCAGAAAAAAAGGTACATATATATTTAAATTTATTTTGTAGAATTTAAAATCTTTGTTCTAGATATTTCAAAGTTCCTGTTTAAATATTAAAATTAAAAATGTATATAGTTAGCCCTGGCTAGCGTGCTCAGTGGTTAGAGTTTCAGCCCACGCACCAAAGAGTTGTGGGCTCAATTCCCAGTCAAGGGCAAGTACCTGGCTTGCAGGTTCGATCCCCTGCCTCAGTTGGGGTGCATGTGGGAGGCAACCAATTAATGTGTCTCTCACATCAATGTTTCTCTCTCCCTTACCTCCTCCCTTCCACTCTATAAAAAAAAAAAAATCAATGGAAAAAATATCCTTGGGTGAGGATTAACAAAAAAACACCGCCCCCCCCCAAAAAAAAATTTAAATAGATATAAGATAGTTTAATTAACTGGAAAAAGTTTTTTAAAAAATATTTAATTTGCAGTTATTATAAATTTCTCAACCAGTCTTAAATAATGGCATAGTTTTTTTTTTTTTCTTTTTAAATCTTAAAAATGTCTATGCCTTGTCTGGAAACACTTTTTTTCTTGATTTTCTTAGCCAACAATTCAGTGATCATAAGCATTCAAGCAACATGAAGCATTTAATCAACACTTGCATAAATGCATCAAAAAGCACTGCGTAAGCAGAGATAACTTTAAGCAAATATGTACTGTTCTTATAAGCCATTTGTTTGAAAGTGGGTTAGTTCCAGGATATAGTGTAAAATAGTTTTAACCTGATGTGACAGCAACTTACCTCCATCTCTTACCAAGGTGAACCTGTACCCAACATATTTAACATCACAAATGTTTGCTACTATTTTTAATGTAGAATGAATCTTTAGGAAGGGAAATCAGATAGAGTAAATAACCTACTACATTAGATTATCCAAAGTCATCTTTACTCTTTTCCAACTGTACAAACAAATTAATTTGCTTTCTTGCCTTGGCATTTATGAATGCAAATTTAATCACCTAAATTTAGACTTCCTGGGAGACAATTTGAAACCACATTGTGAACATGACTTTCACATAAGGTTTGTTCCTTTTTCCTGAATTAGAAAGTGAAATTTTTAAAAAAAAAAATCTATGCTGTATTAGACCCTAGGCAAAATCAACAGAGCTCTGCCATCTCCCGTTAAGTTGATTCGGGGCTCTGGGGAACCATGTCACCATCTGGGCTGGAGTGCATATAGTCAAAGGGAGGCCTGGGAGAGTGTCCTCAAAAAGACCCCAGCTGGCTGAGCAGCCACCTGTTACCAAGATGAGCGAGGGCACAATATATCGTATTCCTCATAATCCATCTGTTTCTAGTCTCTGAATATTCAATTCTGTCATGGCAGGGTACACCGACAACAGGAGAGGACTGGCTCAGAAAGGACAAGACTACAAATCCTGCTAAACAGAAGACATCTACAAGTTCCCCATGATGAGAGACAAGGAGGCTGGTTTGCAAAGGTCAAAGGAGGCAGAGGTAGCAAGCCTGGAGAAGCAGAAAGCCCAGGAGCTCAAAGAAGTCCTAAGAGCAGCACTGACGAGCTGTGTTAAAGACTCAAATGGCAGCTGAAAACAAGTGTCTCTGAATCCAGAGACGTTGATTGTGGTTCCAAAACAGATACTTTGAGATTAATTCAACTCCTGATTAAAGCAAACATATAGAATCTAGGATGAATTTATAGGCTCAATGGCAAATAATAACAATTAACAATAGCCAATACTTACATGGCATCTAATAAGTACTTAGCATAATTTAACCAACTCAGTCTTCACCATAACTCTGTGAGGCAGAAACTATTATTATTCTTTCTGTGGAGATGAGAGAAATTAGGTGCAGACAACCTGAGTAACTTGCCCAAGTCACCGAAGTGGTAGAGGTGGAGGTGAAGCCCGACGGTCTGTAGCCTTCATCACTGCATGCCACTCTCATTCCCTTTCGGCTTCCCATCTTCTTTCTTTATTCTATATCCCCCTTTCCCTATTCCACCCCTTCACTCTGATTTTCCCTTCCTATACATCACGAATGTCAGCTTGGTCATTTATGGTGGAACCTGAGCAAATGATAGCAAATATATGGAACTTACTCTGATCCTCCTCCACCCAATTAGCTTGAGTTGAAATGAGGAAGGATTTGAACTAGCCAGTTTGGCTGTGAGTAGAGTGTCAGCCCACAGGCTGAGGGGTCTTAAGTTAAAATCTGATCAAGGGCATGTACCTCAGTTGCAGGCTCAATCTCTGTTCCTGGTCAGAGTGTGTAGGAGGCAACCAATTGACGTGTGTATATCTCTCTCTGTCTCCACCCTTCCCTTCTACTTTCTCTAAAAATATCAATTGGAAAATATCCTCATGCGAGGATTACAAAAAATAAAGAAGAGAGAGAGAGAGAGGGAGAGAAAGAGAAAGAAAGAAAAAAAGGAAGGAAGGAAGGAAGGAAGGAAGGAAGGAAGGAAGGAAGGAAGGAAGGAAGGAAGGAAAATAAAGAGGCAATCAGAAACAAAACTGAAACACTCTTGCTTTTTGGCTGTAGAAGTTTGGCTTTTGAGTGTCTGAACTGTGTGTGTGTGTGTGTGTGTGTGTGTGTGTATTTTCTTTATCAAATGCTCTATGCCCTGTTAATTGTGTGTAAAGGGCAGGGAGAAGGATCTAGAAGGTGGAAATCAGCTGAAGGTTGAAGGAGGAAGCTAGCAGAGTTGTGTTTAGGAGGAACTCACTGAGACCTGTGGTTTATACAGGCTGAGGGGAGCCCAGCTGGGGAAAGGGCAGCAGAAGGGACTGAGGCACTCAGCACAGCATCAGTAAGTGACAGTGGTGAGATGCCTCCTCCTGTGACTCACAGGGAGCAGACATCAAAGAGACAAAAGCAGATTAATGGCTTTGTTCTTCAGGTCTCCTGAGAACTCCCCCAGAGATGCCTAGAAATAGACAGGGGAGATTTTGAATGGCAGCAGGAGAAAGTTGAAACCCCACAGTTGTGCAGGTAAACAACACCAAGCAGCAAAATGCAGGTGTTTATGTCACCATGACCTCCTTGTTTGCAGAGGCTGGCGAGGCCTGGGAACATCTTAGCTGCTGCATTCACAGGACTAGGAAAGAGCAAGAGCAATGCAATATAAACCAGCCCTTCAAGCATGTCGAGCACAGCTACCGACACAATCTACTAATAAAGGGCAACTCGACATTTTTTCAGAATAGTTTATACTCTACAAGGCCTTCCCTCTTGAGGTTTTATTTTTATAATCATTTTTAGAAATTGAATTTTAACCATATATTAAAGTGATTGTCCTTTTGTTACTGACTCTGTCTCACAGCGTGCAAATGTTTGTCATTTCTCCCACTAGCACTGACATTTGGTGCTCAAACTTGTCCCTCTGGATGTGGTTCAACTCAAATCCTAAGAAAATTACCTGCTAGCTTTTAACTATCCCATTGAGCTTGGGCTTTCTCAGTTTGCCTAAAGTCAGATTCCAAGGACCAGGGGACATGAAGGGTAAAAATCAGAATAAACACTTTTGATCTAAGCTGATGTGACTGGACCGTATGTAATAGCCCTGCAGTCCTTCTCCTGTTTTCTATTTTGTACATATCTTTTTCGGTCATCAGATGTAGCAGAAAGTTGTAGGGGGGGGAAACAGTCTTTTAAAAATGCTCAAAAGGATGAAGTATGAGCAGATGTCCAAGAGAAAGATAAAACAACATTGCGAGTCAAATGTAGAGATTTATTGACACACTTTAGCAAGCTGTAATAGAAAATGTTGGGGACCTTAGAGTACAGCACTAAAAGAGAAAAGGTAAAAAGTCATATTTTTATCTCATTGTATTCAATAAATCATGTCATTCCACTCGCTTCCAAAAGTTTGTTCGCTTACTATAAATTGTACTTAGTTGTCAAGCCCTGTTCATTACACGCAAAATACTTTCTCCTGCATGCTTTACTGTACGTAGATAAGCATATTACATATAATAAGCATATAGGTATTAATAGATAGCATATCATACTTTATTTTAAAATAAAGCTATTAATATAACTTATTCACTTCTTTTTTAAAATTATCATTTGGAACAGTAATAGAATAACTACATGCATAAGTCAATTAATTCCATAAGAAAGGAATAATATTAAAATATAGTTCATGTAGTTCTATTTTAAAATATAGAGGATATGGTTGGTGTTAAGAAAAAAAGGTCAACTCTTTCTATACATGCTGGTAGAATAAGATGTAGAATATCATTTACCTGGTAACATGAATTAAATTAGTAAGTATGCACTGAGCACCAACTATGAATTTGGCACTTTGAGTATAGAAACCTAGAACTCAAGGAGGGCTCAAGTCAGAGATAAATATGACAATTTTCTTAATATACATACTATTTATTTATTTTATTTTTTATTATTGACAGTATTACATATGCCTGCCATTTCCCCCACTCCACCCAGACTCCACCCCACCCCAGGCCTTCACCACATCATTGTCTGTGTCCATGGGTTGTGCTTATGTGCATATATGTTCTTTGGTTATACTATTTAAAGTCAAAGCAATGGGTGAAATTACCCAGATGAAAGTCAATATAAAGAAGATAGGCAAGAACAGAGCCTTGGAGTACTCCAATATTTAGAAGGAAAGAAGCTGAGAAGCCATCAAAGGAGACTGAGAAAAAATAAAAATAAAAAACAGGGAAGTGTACTGCAAGGAAGGCAAGGAGAAAGTGTTTCACGAAAGAGAAATTAATGAACTGATTCATGCTCCTGAGAGGTAAAATAAGATGGATGGAGAGAGTTAACCACTGCATTTCGTAAGATGAAAGCCATTGTGTCAAATGACTGAGGAAGCCTGAATCAGCCGCTGGGGGAAGAGGGTTCGCTTTGCTTAAGAGTAGATCTGCGGCTCCACCAGTGACTGGAGAAGGACAAGGACGGAAGATACGGGTAACATTGTCATTGAAAAAGAGTCAAACAGAAGATATACAGTAAGTGGACGTTAAAGTAAAGGCTGTAGATTATGAGAGATATTTGCAGGGAAGTGGTACATTCAGAACTGCATGCTAGATTGGCTCAGCTGAAACAGAACTGGAGAGAGGGAGTTGTCCCGGCAACAGATGGCAATGGCTTCAGTATCAAAAAGTCCGAGTTTTTACAGGAGGAAGATGGCACATTCACATTGAGATAACTCTAGGAGGGTTTCTTTAAAAAGAAATTCATTTTCACAATCTGAATGGGGTTAGGGAACCACAATGGATAGTGCAGAAATCTGGAACTAAAAGCTGTAAAGCTAAAACCAACGTCCTGCCCTAGCTGGTTTGGCTCAGTGGATAGAGCATCAGCCTGTGGACTGAAGGGTCCCAGGTTCCATTCCGGTCAAGGGTATGTCCCTCAGTAGCAGACTCAATCCCCAGTTCTGGTCAGGGTGCGTGCGGGAAGCAACCAATCAATGTATCTCTCTCACATCAATGTTTCTTTCTCTCTGCCTCTCCCTTCCACTCTGTCAAAAAGTCAATGGGACAATATCCTCTGGTGAGGATTAATAAAAAATAAATAAATAAAACCAACCTCCCTCCCCCTCACACTCAAGGGAAGATGGGAAAGATAGAGTACAAAATTCAGAAAGGAAGCTGGAGAAAGCAACGCCCATAGGAGAAACAGGGAAATATTTGACTTCTCAAACTCTATTAATTATCCTTATAAAAAAATTAAAAGAAGTTTTGTTGAGATATTACATATGCCAGAGACTATATTAAGTTTACATTATTAAACTTCTCGTCGACTCTATGAAATGGATACTCCCTGAGGAAACCAAGGGACTAAGTACCTTGACCCCACTCTCCTTCCTCCCTCAGAATTGTCAAGGCTCCCCATTGGCCACAACCACAGTTAATCAAGAACAAGGTATTCCACTCACAGAAAGAGAAGGGTCTTAGCACCAAAAAACAAGCAGAACCTGGGCACACACGAGACCTAAGCCTACCATAGAGATAAAGGTAAATTAAAATCCAAATCTGGTTGCAGCCCTCTCACCAAGCCTCTGTCATGATGAATTACCTCCCCACATAGGTTGCTTGCAAAAGGAGGCAGCACTGTGAGGCCAATGCAAATATCTGCTCCTCTTAGCATTTGATATTCTCACTCAGAATTAATGAGAATGTCCCAGGGTTGTCACAAATGGAAACTTTATGAACTGTTGGTAATTTCTTATTGAAGATTCATAATAGCTTGCAGTTTTGTGATTCTAAGACAAGTGATCGGAGGTAGCTGTCATATAAGCAAAGGCAAAGACAAGAGGAAATTTGAATTAGTTGTCAATATTTAAAAAAATAAACAGGGACACGGTAACACAAGGCAAAATTGCTGTGTGCCAATAATCAGCTGGAGCTGAGTAGTGCTTCTCCCTCTAATGGTGCACGCTGATCCCAGCTGACTCCCATCCCAGCATATCCATCCGCTCTGTTAGACTTTCTCACTCCTACAAGTACTTGAGGAGCTCTCTCTTGTAATCATCTCAGTCGGTCTTTGTGTTTCCATACCCTCTGATAGTACACATAATTAACTAGGAGCTTAACAGAGGTAGGCTAAACTTCAAAAACTTAGCCAAAAATATTGATCTCTCCTTATTCCATTTCTTTCCCTTTTTTTTTTTATTTCCATTTTTCCCCTGCTACCTTAAAATTATTTTCTAAAAACACTTATGGTAAGTCCAGCTGGTGTGGCTCAGTGGTTGAGCATCTACCACTAGAATGAACCAAGAGGTCATGATTCGATTCCCAATCAGGGCACATGCCCAGGTTGCAGGCTCGATCCCCAGTGTGGGGCATGCAGGAGGCAGCCAATCAATGATTCTCTCATCATTGATATTTCTATCTCTCTCTCACTCTATCTTTCACTCTGAAATAAATAAAAATATATTAAAAAATAAAATAAATAAATAAAAATACATGTGGTAAATTTCTTGATTTGGATTGTTTTTAATTTTTATTGAATTTATTGGGGTGACATTGGTTAATACAATTACATAGGTTTCAGGTGTACAATTCTATCATACATCATCTGTATATTGTATTTTGTGTTCACCACCCCATCAAGTCTCCTCCTTCCACCACAATTTGTTCCCACCCCCCTTTATCTTCTTTTACCTCCCTCCACCCGCTTTCTGGATTTGGATTTTAAATAAGTCTTTTTTTTCTTTTTACAGCTGTAGCATTTTCCTTTTCT